CTATGTTGTTTATTTGTTTATGTTGCTGATTAGTTTATGTTGTTGATTAGTTTATGTTGTTGATTTGTTTATGTTGGTGAATTGTTTATGTTGTTTATTGGTTTATGTTGGTGATTTGTTTATGTTGCTTATTTGTTCATGTTGATTTATCCCGATTTGGTGTTTTATTACGCGAATTAATCTTGAGAGAGCTCATGATTTTCATTGTTTTTGTTGTTTACGCATTAGCTTCAGAGGCAGGAAGACTTGGCCTATATGTTTTTTATATAAGGAGAGAATTCAAATATACATCAAGTGATATAAGTAATAGGGATTATATTACTCATTATCGGCGATTGCATGATTATTTGCACTTTTGTTATTTTCGCAACATTTGCATGATCAAATATGACATTAGTTCGCTCATTTTCAGTCCTACGTTTCACTAGGGTTTCGTAGTTTGTATTCTCTTGAGTACTTATGCTTAAAATGTTTAAATGTTAATTTTGCACATGGGTAGAATTGAATTTATTCTGTTTTGATTTTAATGATGTGTTAGAATATACTGTATTTTTTGTCAGAGTTATCATTGCTGTGTGAACTTAATGTTATTTTGTATACTATTTGTTAACGAGAGCGACCCACCTTCCAGAGTCATAGTCACTAGACCAGACTTGGGTATCACGTAAACCTGAAAATCCAAATCTAACTTTTCTACCTTTTATAAGTAGGTGGGGATCATGTAGGAAGGCCACCCCCCCTGTATCCCCTAGTACCCTCCCTAGTACCCTTCCATGTATCCACCTTTTACCCCCCTTTATTAGCATTTTGTCTCAAATTATAGGACATGGACATCAAGAACTCTGTCTGGCTTGTGAACTTGGGCTCGGAGTGGTGATTTATTGCAGATATTTTTGTCATATTGTGGTTAACATGATTGCAGCATCTGTAATTTCCCTCTATCTGTGTGCGTCGCTCTCGGTAACATTAACCTTTTATGTTACTATTTCAGGAAAACTGACAGGATTTGCTCAGATTCAGATTGAGTTAGTCCCAAGCCAGTACTAGATTGGTAGTGCTCTTCTTAGTATGATCCTATTAATGAAAATTGTATCAAGTGAATAGTAATGACCAAAACCATAATAAAAAGACCATGAATAACAATAAACCTCATCTGACTTTGAAATGGTCAGGAGTGATGTTCTGAGCTCTTCATGAATACTGCATTTGAGTCACAACCAAGGTAATTCCTTATAGAACAGAAGCACTTGCCTAATTCCCTTACTTGACGTTAATTTTTTATTTTATTTTTTTTTCAACAATCTAAGTTGCTGTGACTAGGTGCTGCCTGAGGGGAGGGTTGATCATGGTGGGGCTCTACCCTCCAACAACCCTGGCATACATAACCCTTACATTTGATTGTCGGACAAGAAAGTGCTGAATCTGTGGGGCAGCAATTGGACTCCATGAGCGGTATTTCACTAGTTTATTATGCCAAGTCAGGTTCATGTGGATTTTTGTCTTTCATATATATATATATATATATATATATATATATATATATATATATATATATATATATATATATATATATATATATATATATATATATAATGTTTTTTTAGGGGATAAGTACTGGTATTGTCAAAAGCACTAGTGCTGGACCTGTTACTAGCCACTACCAGTCTTTTTATGATTAGGTATATACATTTAGAAGTTTTAAGAAGTCTTGAGTTCCAGCATTACTTCCCAAGTTTGCTCCGAACCATTTGAATGAATCCCTTGTGCTTTTTAATGCTTGTGCAGGTGGTTGCATCATAGTATGGTTGTGCTGATGTCTGTCTGCAATGGCAGGGAGCCAATAGGAGTGTAAGCTCTGATTTTATGCTGCTTGTTTAATCATGGGATTATAGATTATGCTTTAGATGGATGAACAGGAAATATAGTGTACTAAAAAAAAAAAAAAAAATAGATAAAAAAAATGCAATCTCAACATCTGTTATGGTTGGAAGTTTCAGTATAGAGTCCAGAATCTCTAAAAATGGCTGATTTACTACTCTCTCTATCTTTAGCCAAGATATCATGAGGCACTTTAGTCTGTCTACCTGTCTACCTGTTTACCTACCTCTCTGTCTATCTTTCTTTTTATCTGTCTTTGTCTCCCTCCTTTGTTTTGGATTTTGTTGTTTTTTTCATTTTGATTTTCTGACTTATAATTCCTCTACTCTCTCTCTACCTTTTTTTGTGGAATTAATAATGAAAAATGACTTTATTTCTCTTTATATGACCCCATGATGTAACTTGTGGTTACATGTGCAATAGGATATCTTCATAGATATATGCATTTAGAGATAATAATGCAACTGAGGTCTGTATATGATGTCTCATATATGAGACCATAGGTGTCCAGGTGTCTCATTTGAAAGGTGATAAAAGTAGGCTACTTCATATATATTTTCAAATAAGGTGAGTGTAAGATGAAAGAAGTGCCATATTTCATCTAGATATGTTAACGATGAGA